GCATATTGCCTGATGGAAGAGATGACTATTAACTTTTTCAGCAACTAGACTGTAAGTTTCTAGACAGACAGGGATGAGAGCAGCAAAATGAAGTGTTTAAGAGGTTGGATACAGAGCAACACTGCCTGGGTTTGAATTCCAGTTTCACCATTTACTACCTATGTGATTTTTAGGCAAGTTACTGTAGCTTTGTTTCTGTTTCCTCATGTTGAAATAACAATACCCACCTCTTAAGGTTGTTATGAGGATTAAATGAGTTAATATTTGTAAAGTACTTAGTGCCTGGTATATAAATAGTGAACAATTATTCTTATTTTTACTTCTCTCAAGATACCTAGCAGAGTCCCTCAGAAAATTCTAGGTTATATGACCTTGGCCAAAATATGTTTGGTAAAACCTAGTGTTGCAAGTGTATGGGAAAACAGCCATCGTTAATGGGAATATAAACTGGTCCAACTCTTTGGAAGGCAATTTTTCAGTATGCAGATGTTTTGACCTAGCAAGCATCTTGATAGAAGTGTGCCCTGTGAATATACTTGCAAAGGTATACCGGCAGAACTATTTAAAAATGTTCACTAAAACACTATCACAGCAAAAACCAGAAACTTAAAGGTACATCAGTAGAGGTCTGGTTAAATACACTGTAGGTACAGACATAATCCTCTGTACCTGCTGAAAAGAATAAGATCGGTTACTGCTGACATGGAATGATCCCCAAGATACTAAGTGGAAAGAACAAGTGCAGAGCAGTGCATGATCCCTTCTCTATAAATAAGAGGTTATGCCAACATTTATTACATGCATTTTTTTCTGTGGAAGGTTAACTATGAAAATGTTAACAGCAGTTACTTTTGGGAAGTAGGATGATGGCACAGGGGAAATTTTCTTTTCATTTTAAATTTCTGGTGCATTCAATTAAAAAAAAGTCACTGGGTATTACCTGGATTGTAGTTAGATGGTACTTTATCCTTTTTCTGTATTAATAAATGTTATTAAAAAATAAAACATCTGCAAAGCAGGAAGAATAGATGGAAAGAATACTTAAATGAAATTCCTCAGGTTTAAGTGAAGAAAAAAATTATCCTACTTTACAGATGCCTCATATATTTCGGATGACTTAAGTGTGGAAGATACACTGATGATTTGTTTTAGCATGCTCCATCTTGGAATTTAAGATCAGCTCAAAACATCTCAAGTGGGCAAATACAGTATTTTATAATTACTAGTATTTTTTTTTAGGGACTGAATACAGCCTTTTAAAGCAGCCAAGTCCATATTCATTAATTAAAGTTTGTTTTCCATGTCTAGCAGTTTATCTTACCGAAGTACAAGTCTGACAAATAAAATTATTGGAGCTTGATCCTCAGAATTTAAGCAGGTTGGCTCAAGTGTGAGAGAATATGCTGAGTTGTAAAATTATAAATAAAAGAATAAAAATCCAATATATATAAACTTAAAACTTATTTTATTTTAAACTTAACATGGCACCTTCTTTTAGCTGTGAAACTTGCTGTATTTACCCTATTTTACTAACTCTAGTGATAATATACTATCTTACCATTTATTTTCTTAAAGATGAGTTATAAGAATGACTAATTTCTTGATCAAAGTTAATGAGGTATAGCCACAACAGCTTATTATTCTACCAGGCTCATGGTAATATAAGATTATAAGTAGTTAATAAACAATGTCATTTTAAGATGACTGATTTAGTTAATACCAAGTGTTCTATTTTCCAAAATTTGGAGATAATTCTGATTAGTACTTCCATATTAAAATCACCTAATAATTAAAATAACACCAATCCCTCTCCTTTTTTCCATAAAAGATTTTTAAAACTTTAAATCATCTAGTGGTAGAATGATATATAAATGCTATTCTATACCTCATGGTATTGATGTACGTGTTTGCCATAGCAGAATTCGTATTTCCACCAACCAACACCCTAAAGGAAAGAAAACATTTAGATCAAGTTAAGCACAGAGAAAGGGGGAATGAGGCCTGTCTCACTTCTGCCACATGAAGTGATAGAAATACATGTGATTTAAAAAACCTGCAACAGCAATAGCACGATTGAAAATTAAAATTAAAAATTATTGAGAAATTGTAGGGCATAGTGGCTC